CTCGCCTCCGGCTCACAGCCCCAGCACTGGCTCCTATAGTCTCCCTCCAGGCAGCACAAACCCCCTTTGCCTCTGGAAAGGGTCCTGTGATTAATCTCACTTATTACTTCGGAAAAGTAACAGTGCAGCGGCTGCCAGCCAAGTCCGACTCAACGTGTCTGGGGAGCTGAGGCTGCAGGGCCAGGCCTCAGACTGTCTGGGCAAGTCACGAGCTTTCTGCCTTTCCTCTCCTGGAGGCTCCAGACAGTCAGAGCCAAGGCCTAGCTGTGGGAAGCAGGGATCCTGCAGGACTGTGCCAATCCATAGTGCTGAGGTTCAGGGCGATTTCCAAGCAGGATGGAGAGCAATTGGCCCTGACATCACAAGTTTCCTTAGTGTGACCAAAATATATATAGAAAAAAAAATACAAGGCAAGTCATGTATTTCTAAAGTTTAAGTCAGCCAATTCACTTCCACAGTTAACAAGTTGTCACTGGTGACCCTGGAATACGTGTGTGGAAATAAAATTAAAAAAAAAGATAAGAGGTTGTTGCGGAAGGAGAAGGCTGTTACAGGCACAAATATTCGTGGTTGCATGAGTAGAGGAAGAACATGCACAAACTAGAAACAGGATGAGTTGCAAGAACATACAGGCAGTAGTTCTATTTTTTGCCTGCCCTCCTCAAACCTCCTCTGAGCAGAAGGTAATAACAGAAAACTCCAAATTCAGAGCTCTCAGAAGTGCTGCCTCTCAAGGACGGCAGGCAGTGTCATCATGACAGAGCTGCGGAGGCGATGCAGACAGAGGTCACAGAAAAATCACTGTACCCACCCTCAATTACTCCTCTGCCGTGAATAAAGAAATTGAATTACTTTAGGCATTAAGGTAAGCAAAAAGGGAAGAGAACAAGCACTATGGGGAGACAGGAACAGATATGTGGCAATGCTAGCAGAGGGCTGGACTCAGTGCTGTTGGGCTGCTGCTGCTCTGGCACTTCTGTACTGCTTAGCCAGGGAGGTGTTACGGTCAACGCAGTTTGCTCAAACTGAACTGAGGGTTTACTGTGTATCTCTCAGTGCTTGCTGCCTTCCCCCTTCGTTTCCTCCAGAGGCATCACTGCAGCACAGCCTCCAAGTTACCTTACACCTAGATGCTGTGCAAACAAACAGGCTGTGAACACTTGGCAAATGCAGCACAGGACAACAGTCAGGCAGCCTCGACTTTGCAAGAAACTGCAGGAAGCTCAAAACAAATGATTTGGAAGAGAATAAAAGTCATTATCAATCCAGAACTACAAGGCAACACATATGTAACACAATTTGCCTGTGATTACTGTCTGGGGTCTTTCAGGCAAAACTCAAAGATTCAATGAAACTAGAGAAGCCAAATACACCATTGCAGAAAAAACTCTCAAAAGACATCTGGGGTTCTTCCTCACAAGTCCAAAGGATATATACTTAGTATGATCAGAACAGAACATCTGAAACCTAGAACGTGTCGTACATGTACCCATAGCAGTAAATGAAGTAATTCTTGGAGGAGAAATCCACTGTCTTTTTCAAAAAACAAGTGGCATAGCAGCTGCAAATTCCAGTGCCAGAAGCTTCAAGTAACCTCTGACCGCTGCCCCCACTACTAGGGGTTATGCAGCACTTTGCCAACAGGTACTTTATGTTCTGAATCAACAAGCTTCACTCTATTAAACAGCTGATTTTTTACCTTTATTATGCATTCAAGATAATGCTTTATCAAGAGCAGTTCTAGTACGGTCTTGGCTTCAGTGACTGGTAGTTTCACTGGATAATGAGGAATTACTTCCATATTTGTGGTCCTTAGATTACATTATTAAAATTGTGATAAAAATAATATATGGTAACCTTAAATAATTCTACTGCAAAACATGTAATCATGTTTAGTGCCTTTACAGCACAATGTGAGGGGATGACAACCCTACCCAAACAATTGAGTGAGAACTCAATCGAGACAGAACTGAAATAGGGCACTGAGACAGGACGAGGATTAGAGTGGGAGAAAACAGATTTGACATAAATTCAGTGATGTACAGAGGGTAACAAAGGCAGGTCTGCAGTAAATGTGGCAGATGCTGACGGCCATGTTACAGTAGTCAAAAGTAAGCCCACATACAACTTGGAACATCTCACCTGTTGTGGAGCTCTGCAGGCTTCTTTGTTTGAGGTGCAGCAAAAGACTAAGCCATCATTTGAGTGGGAATAGCACCAATGCTTATAGAAAGTGACAAAAAAATCTCAAAATGCACCACAGTGTAGATTTATAAAATAACATTTTAACATATTCAGAACTGTTCTCTGTCTCCATATTACAAACCCAAGATCTCCTTTGCCTTTTGGCAATAGGACTACTAATTTGGCACCTCACTTCATACAGCCAAAAGAATTCAACAGAAGAAGGAGTCCTTCTGAGAAACACTTAGATAAGTCAGTACTCAGAGAGTGGGTATTAAAGGGGAGAAAGATTTGTCAACAAGAATAGTCCAAATCCTATAGATTGCAAACATCAGACCAAAATTTTCAAACAAACCTCAGCAGTACTAAAATGGCTTAGATTTACCACAGAGTCATACAAAAACTGTAGGGACTGCATTTCAGAGGCAGATATTTGAACTGGAGCCAACTGCAAGCCAGATAAGAGACCCATTTACGAAACATTTTCATCCTTGCCGAATTCTGCAAGTGATAGACCAGAACCTTAATGGAACAAAACAGAAAGCTTTTCTTCAGTTATCCAGCACTGAGCACAGGCTGACACCCATCAGATGACCCTCTGTGAACTGCTTGCTCCAATGTAACTAATCAAGTAGCAAAAAAGGCATTTACAATACAAGATAGCAATCTCCATATATCATGACCTTGATATTCTTTTTGGAATTCTCTCATAAAATAAAAGTTCAGAGACCAAGTAATCCAGCACTGCCTCAAGAATCCCTTTTTTTTTTTCATTTCCAGATTTACAAAAAACTTTTAACTCCCAGTATTCTGACCATTCAATAAAAGCATCCATAAAGATAAAATAATTCAATAAAGAGTCCTAAGACATCTTTCTGTCACTTTCTCTGAGGACAAAAACCAGAGCAACTGAAGTACTGAAAGACTAAATGATTCATAAAAGGTTTGAAGATGGAATCTTTTATCTGTTGTGACGGGAAAATTCTGAAGCATTTTCAGATTGCTGTAGAAAATAAAACAGAAATTTTAACTACAAGCATTAAACTATGCACACAATGCTAGATGAGGCACAGCCCTGAAAGTCATTCAGAGCACAGTTCTGGGCATTAAATGGTGGGGTTTGCAGCTATATCTGTGAGCCCATGAAAAGGTGCAAGCAGAGTCAAGAAAAAGAACGGAAGCTCTAGGACAGCCTGCATGCTGCTGCTCTCCCAAGCTGTGTAATAAGAAAACGCAGTTTACACCTATTGGATAAGTTCTTTATTTGGATTAGGTAATAGCTTGCCTGGCTGGGCTCCAAGAGCAGAATCACTACCACCTCTCTCAATAACTTTAAATCCCAGAGGCAAACATTGTCCTGGAACAGAAACAGGCCAGGAATTCATTTCTCACATTCTTCTTCTTTAGGCAGGGTGAAAAGCAGTGACTGATGGAATAAGAACAATTTTACTTGAGCTTTCCAAATCCCATTACAATTCTCCTACTGAAGGACCCTTGTGGGAAAGGATGACCACTCTGGTCACATGCCTTCTGCACTGTGTGTCTCCCTCTCTCACCTCCCTCCATTTTCCAGCAGCATTCAGATGCCAATGACAAGAACCAGTGTTTTCATGTCCTTTCCAGTCCTAAACTCATGTGCTGGAGAAGCTCTGCTTCATTATTCTGTTTTAAAAGACAAAAATGAAAGCTTAGGCAAAGGAATAAATAATATTTACTGGAGTGGCAAAGGAAGAACTCAAATCTCCAGCAGTTCCGGGCTTGTATTCAGCCTAGTTATCACAGCAAGCTTGACTTGCTCCTAGTCTATAAGATCTAGATTCCTGTGAGTCAATCTTGCTACTCTTTCAATCCCAGGAAGAATGGTTTTACTGCAGAATCACAGTCCTCTGCCCTGATTCCCATGAGCATACTAGCTATAAATTCCAACGTCCAAAATTCATATGGAGCATAAAGAAGCCATCTGGAAAAGAAAATCTAATAAACACTGCTCTATCTATGTTGTTCTATCTTTGAACAATCTAAACTTGATATTCACAGAAAAAGCATGAAGATGAGGACATAGTGGAGATTTTTGCAGCATTCTGCATATATGTCTCAACACTAGCAAACTTGAACTTACAGACGCAGAGAAATCAAAGATAGACATTTCCCTCTCAGCCTACATGTTCATCCAGGCCCTTATTTCACCGTGAACCTGACAGCTTTGGGAACATAACTATTATCATAGGTCTAGTTTCCAGATCTGAGAAGAACGATTACTAAGCTCTTAGATAGAATCATGGAACTGTTTATGCTGGAAAATACCTTTAAGATCCTCAAATCCAACTGTTAACCGTAACACCACCAAGTCCACCACTAAACCATGTCCCTCAGTGCCACATCTACACATTTTTTAAACACTTCCAAGTGGCTCCACCTTCTCCTGGGCAGCCCATTCCAATGTTTGACAACCTTTTTGGTGAAGAAATTTTTTCTAGTATCTAATCCAAACTTCTCCTGGTGAAACTTGAAGCCATTCTTCTTGTCCTATTGCTTGTTACTTGGGAGAAGAGACCAACATACACCTTGCTACAACCTCCTTCCAGGCAGTTGTACAGAGCAATATTGTGTTGCCCCCAAGACTCCTTTTCTCCAGGCTAAACAACCCCATCTCCCTCAGCCACTCCTCAAACTTGTGCTCTAGACCCTTCACCAGCTCCACTGTTCTTCTCTGGACACATTGCAGCATCTAAGCAAGAAGCCAAACACAAATTACAAATGAGCTCCTGAGTGCATTGCATTCTTCTTCCAAAGCTAGAGCAGCAATTTTAACTTACCTGACTGCTGAGGAGACAGATCTTTTGTCAGCTCTATGAGTGTCTGACTGAACAGCCCACAGTGACCCTCTTTTGTTGAGTGGTGACCGGTAGCTCTGTGGGGCAGCTGCATTCCCCTTGCTTATAGCTCCACTTGCCAAGTTCAGGTTTGTTAACTAAAGAGGCAAAAAAAAACAAAACAAAAACAAACCCAAACAAACTATCAGAAACAATTAAAAGCCAAGAAAAGAGCAAAAGGCATCACTATGTAAATGGGATAGAGCATTTACTAAGAAAAGTGAAACTGCTAGAAAAGGGAAATTTTCAGACGCAAAAAACCTGTGCTAGTTGCATAAAGCAGTGGAAGAGATGACACCAACAGACACTGTGCTTGAAATGAATTCAAATGCTAGCATGAAAATTCAACCCTTCCATTCACAGAAGAACAAAGAGGGGAGAAAAATCCCAAAGTAAGAAAGCAACATCATGTTCCTGCCATGTGAAAAAATTAAATCCACGTGCACTAATCAAAAGCTAGAAGCTCATATTACATTGAGTAGAGACCAGACTAATTCTCCAGTCATCATGAGCTGTGTAACTAAGCCAACAACATGCACCTGTCCTCTCCCTACCCCTCTCTATACATACACATATACAGGCACAACACAAAAGCATATGTACCTTGGATATAAACTTCAAAACCAAACTCAACCACACACAAAAGAAGCTTCCCACACAACCACCTGCAAACTGTTCACACAAGTAAACATACTGAAATCATGTTAAGTGTATGCTTGCTAGATCAAGCTCTAAAGAAGTTATCTGTGAGTTTTTAAGCGTATAATATGTATCTGTTTCTTTCTCTGAGCATTCTTCTTGAGTTGCTTATCTTCTTGAAAGACCAAACTGCAGGCAGATGCTATCTGTTAATGTATTGAAGAAAGCCTAAATACACAACACAATGGATCTACTACAGCAGTGTAATGGTTTACACTTGGGGAAAAAAAAAATGAAGGTCTCAAAACACTACAAACATTGAAAAGCTAACTTTGTAAAGCCCTCCCAGTCAAGCCCTGCCAGAATTAAGTTTATGACTCCCTTTAATTACATGATCACGTGTTACTTTTTAGCAGTGAAAACACCCAGTTCTGCACCAAGACTAGGATCAAACAGCAAACAAAACTTACCTATGCTGGCCCTCCTCACTTTGGTGGCAACTGAAAGGCATATAGCCAATGAAACATCGGACACAGACAGAAGAGTCTAACAACTAGCCTGCACCTGCTCCAGATCTCAAAGGTGATTGTTATTAAATCACTTAAAGGTGTAACTTCAGCATAGCTTAACAATGCTCTTTTACCAGAATTTGTACTTGAACGAGTACAAACCAGCTTCATTAAATAACTACACTCATACTTAAAATGGATTTGTTCAGGATTACAGACCTCATATCCTCTCACTGAACTCCAGAACGTGAACTAACATTGCAACTGAAGTAGGTTGTCACTCCTTTTGTGGTTTAGTAGTACAAGGCACCTAAGCATTTTTTAAGTTCAGAAATCTTTAATTCCTACATCAAGTTCTGGACAGAATTAAATTCTAGTGGTAACACACTTGGCTTTTGTCCACTTCTCCAAAAGCAGCCATCCACTTTCATCTCATCTCTTCTCAGCTCTAGTCTTTTCTCATTCTTTCTTCTCATCTGTGTGTCACTATTCTCACCTAGTCAGTTCCAGCTTCTGCATGTCAGGTGTCATTCTCCTTGTTTTTCTCAGTACAGTTTTGTTCTAACAGATTTGCAGCACTGTCCTCCCTACTAGTTCTGGCCTATGAGACACACCATTTCAGGCCTGAAACTTTCCACAGGAGTAGTTACTTGATCTGTTTTTCCACACTTCCATTCTTAATTCCTCACATATCCTATTATCCAAGTGGTTCTAGTTCTATTCCCCTCCCTAGTCCACTCCTTTTGCTAACTGTTCTTTCATCTGAATGGTTCTCAATGTCTTCTCCCAAATTATGTCCAGGCACAAATTTCATAGCCTCCTTGTCCTAGCTGTTCTCCACACCGTGGCAGAATTCCCACTCCTTCTGTACTGAAGTCAGACAAGACCCCAAACTGTCAAGGACCAGGTCACTGAGAACACAGGAGAAAAGGAGTACACTAGGGATAGAAATACAGAGAAATTCAGTTTAGCATGCTCAGTGGGGAGGGAACCTTCAGGAAGTTAAGAAGGTCTAGCAGGTATTGCTGAGTATATTTCAATTGAAGCTTTTCAAACAACTACTGTGCAATCAAGCTCGGACAAAATTTTAAATTCCAAATTGCTATTTTGAAGCATGAGAGATCCAGAGATTTAAACTAAAAGTTCTGCAGATATTAAAATGCACAAAATATTTTTTTTTTAATCCAGCCTTGGTTTTGTCTGGAATACTTCATCTTGCCTGAAGTGTTCTGAACACTGAACAATAAACACAGAAAATATGAATCGAAATAGATGATGTTTCAGAACACTACAATTAATTTAAGACAAGATCTTACAATGGGACATATCAGGCAAGCTTAGTAATGGCAGTGCTATCCACCTTATATGGAAAACAGCATTAGGTGTCATTTTGGTGCCCATACTTCACCCTTAAATGTTGTTGTGTTCTGTAGAATTTAATTAAAATTTTAAGTTTCTTCATTGCAATAACAGAAAGCTTCAATTTAGGTTTAGTTCTGATTGTGCCAGGCACTATACAAATACCTAACAATGACAGTTGCTGGCTACAAAGAGTTTATTGTCTGAAAAGAAGCAAGAATGGGTAATGATGCAAACACAGAGGGCAACATGGTAAATGAAACAGGTTATATACAATTCTTAGCTTGTCAGCAACAATGATCACAACTTTGCTAACACATTTTCTCTTATCATCTTGATACTAAGATGCATTTAGTCTGATGAATTACAGCCTCAGTCCTGCTCTATTATTGTGACATGCTTACATGCTTTCCTCTCTAACATTGTATCAGTGTTTATTTGAAAGCTGTCTCTCTAAGCAAAGCAGGTGAGCAAATAGCTTCGCATGGGTAGTAGGGCCATTTCACACATTCCAGATAGACAGGTGTTTAAAGTACAGCAGATTAAACACAGGCAAGGGATTCAGAATGAGAGAGTGACCAGCAAGGTTTAGCTGCAGCCAGTGCAATGTTACTATGCCATGCACTGAAACATTTCAGCTGCTATAATTAGCTTGCCAGGATGTTGCCTTGAAGTATTGCTGAGACACCCCCAACACATCCGTGGTCAGCAGGGGCTTCATTTTCTAGTCTTCCTGTGCACTTGATGGAACTGCATTATTCCCTTCACAGGGCAAATACTTAGCAACAAATCAGTTGGTATTTTGGTGTAAAAGAAGGTAATGTATAGCACCTGGACCAAAAGAGCCATAAAGAAGAGCTTGTAGCTTCAGAAATTGTAACAATGGAGCAAAAAACAAACGAATTAAAAAAATACCCCTAAACCCTAGAAAGTCAGGCTAGCAAGCTCAACAGAGAAGGTGGTTATTAGTGTGGATCTACAAGAATAAAGTTATTTTTCACACTGAGTTGCAACAAGATGGGTTCAAACTCTCCTGCTTGCTAAGACTCCTGTTCCTCATTAGCAGCAATGGAGTTTAGAGTATTTTTCCTGACACTGATAGTATGACAGGAGACCTGTGCATGCTGCAATGCACACTTCAAGCATCCCTATTTTCAAACATCTCTCCTCACATGAATGCATTCTTCATGGAGTCTATAAAAGGCAAGACAATACACAGCTAACACCTCTCAAGACAGAAAGACTCGAAAAGTTTTGCCACAATTTTTAAACTGTCTGGAACAGCAAAACCATCAGAAGCTGAAAGGAACATGCTGACAAAAGAACATCATGGGATAGTAAATACCAAAGAGCTCTCAGGGAAGGAGAAAAGCCCACTTAATGTAATTCTATTTAACATATAACACAAAGAAACAGGGGAGGGAAGAACATGTGGGTTCTCACAGCCATATCGATAAATAGAGCCCTGTGTTAGAAACAGCACATATATGCAATGTTATACTTAGTTCAGTAGAATGCTAATAAGCCAAAAGACAAATTATTGCATAATGCTAAAATCCTGGATTACACAAAAATTCTGGTATCCACCTTTTCTTTTTCCTCCTAATATGCCTTTTCGGTGTTTTGCCTTCTTTAAAGAGACTGAACTGCTAGTGATTCACTCACTCAAGCATTGGACCACCTGCAGTGACCGCCCAGGTGCTGTAAGAGACTGGACTATTGGTGCTCATGGCTCAATCAGCAGTGTGCTTTGCTAACAATGTCCAGAGTGGCCACCCAGGCCAGGGGCTGAAGATGTGCACATCCAACACCTCAGCCTACAAACTGGGTGTTAAGCAAGATAAGGAAAGAAGCAAACCCTAAGAGGTGGGGTAGTGTTTCTTTTTCCTTACGTAGATTACTCAGCTGTGATAACTCCCCCAAACATTCACACCAAGCCTGAAGGTATTCATCTCTTGTTGACAAGCCATAATGGACTCAGCTGCAAAATCTTAGAAAGTGTCAAAGACTCCCTAGTATCCCACTCACAGTATTACATCATCCAGCGCAAAACTCCCTGCTCCAGGGGAGGTATTGGAGGCATTCCCACCTGAACCTGAGTGTATATAACTGAGTTTTGAGGCTTCTACCATCACCTTGACAGATCCAGACTGCAACCATCACTTCAACCAATAAACATCGAAATTGCAACAACCAAGTCTTGTTGTGGATCCAACGGGTGTCTTGCCGGTCCTTCCAGTCACCTGGGGGGTCTGCAGTCCTGCCCCAACTGCCTGTACCGGCACTGCAGCCTCACTACAGTGCCACACAAGCATCTGCCAGTATCAAATCCCACTATCTGCCATTTCCTGCCAGCACTGACTCTCCAACTTTCCTGACAGGATTCCCAGGCATGGGGAGGCAGACCACATGGAAGGGCAGCCATCTTGTCTCTGTCCTGTGGCTGTGGTTTTCTTCCAGGTGGAGGAGACCAGCAACCATCTTGATTTGGTCTGGTGGGTGGGGCTCGGGAAGTTCCTCCTCATCAGTTGGTTTAACTCAGTTTTATCAGTATTGTTATTAGCATTCATCTTGGTACAGAGTTATTTTTT